GAGTCCCCACCCTGCTCCCTGCAGCACAGAGCCCCCTAGTCCTGCCCTGGGGCATCGGGGCCAGCCCTGACTGCCAGGGGAGAGCCACGACCTTGCCTCTTGCAGCACAGCGCCCCCTAGAGTTTGCAACTGAACCCCAGAAATTCCAGATGCCCCCTGCTGGATTTCAAGCATTGGCAGGTGGAGCTGTCTCCATGGCAGAGTCTCGCACATTCCCGCCTCCCCGTTACCGCATCCCAGCCCCAGCCCGAGCGCAACCAGCACCACGCACCGGTCAGGATGGAGAGGGCCAGCAGCAGCAGGGCCTCCATCTCCTCCAGGGTGAACGTTGATGTAGGGCCTACAAGAAAGGGAAACCGGATTTGGGCCCAGGAAAGGTTCCTACGAAAACATTTTCAGCACAGAGGGTGTCCCAGAAAGGCCACGAGCTCCATAGCGAGGCCGGGCTTGGGGCTGAGGCAGGAGATCTTGGCTCTAGTCACGGCTGGAGCCCGATGTACGAGTCACATAGTCATTCTCTGGATTCCTTCAGAATTCCCAGTGATCCTGCGGAGGTTTGACAGGTTCGTGTCCCCAGGTCAGGACCAGGATTATGGAAACTGGGGTTCAGCTGGGAGCCCCTTGGGCACAGCCGTGACACTTGCACTTGAGGAATTCTTAGCACATTTAACAAAGTCACAAAGGCTCCAGCCCAGTGAGGTAGACAGAGAGACGGCAGCGGGTCCCTCTGAACCGTCCCATGCAGAACAACCCGGACTGTCAGCCAGTATCTTCTTCCTCACCATCACCTTCCTCGCTGTCACCCTGGCAGCCCCCAAGGGCTACACGACGCTCTCCTGCCCGCAGGCTGGGATGCGACTTGTACTTGATGTTACGTTGACGCCACCCTGCCTAATGCCTGTTCCATAGGGGTGTCTCCCCTCTTCCTTATGTGTATCTCCTCCCCCTACCAGTGATGGGGGCCCTTCTCCTATAGGTAGGTCATGGCTCTCTGGTGGTCAGACAGCTGCTGATGGGCCCATCCTAAAATATCCACAAGCTGGTGTTAGCTCATGTTTCTAGTGTCGTGGACAAAGCTCCCCCTTAAACGCTCTGTTCCCACGTCCCAAAACGTAGGGGTCACCGTTAGGCCATTTCTCTGTGCCAAAGTCCACAGCCCCAAGCCTTATGCTAACTGCTGACGCCAGCGTCTCACAGGTGACAGGCCTGTGGGTTCCTTGCATTGCTGCCACATAAAATAAATGCTAAAGCCAGCTTTATGGGCTACACAATGCTGCCACAGGGCCCCATGTGACCATGAGCAAGCCACGCCGCTCCGTGCCTCAGTTTCCCCACCTGTACAAGGAGGATAAAAATCTTACTTTTGTCTCTTTAGACTTCAAATGCTTTGTGGCAGGGACTGTCTCTGGCTGTGTGTCTGGGCACCAGCTGGCATAACGGGGCCCTGATTGCAGCTGGGGCAGGGACAGTCTCTCGCTTTGTGTCTGGGCAGCGCCTGGCACAACGGGGCCCTGATCTCAGCTGGGCCATTAGATGTGACCATAACACATGTGGGAAATAGTGATAACGACCTCGCAGTGTTCAGCTTTATTCAGCATCCCAGCTTCCTGCCTTGCTGAGGAGACCTGAGAAGCTACCAGCCCAGCCGCTTACTGCTGAGTTAATTGATCTGCCCATCTTAATGTCAGAAGGGACCTTTATGCCCACACAGTCTGCCCAGCCCAGTGACCGCCCCAGGGATCCCGACCTCCAGCCCAGATCTGATGGTCGAGCTAGAGCAGTGCTTTTAGGGACATCTGATCTCCATAGAAAGACTCCGAGGGCTGGAGACTCTGCCCTGTCTCTGGGGCAGTCCTTCCCAGGGTCACTTCCCCTCCGTGGGGAAAATCTGCCCCTTATTCCCAGGCTTGATTTGTCTGGCTCCATCCCCCAGCTGTCGGCTCTCACGTTTTCCGTGTCTGTTGGGTTAACAAGCCCTCTGAAACCTCCCCCGCCCGCCCACCAGGGAGGTGCTGACAGACAGGGATCTAGTCCCCTTTGAGCCTTCCCCAGGTTAAACTCACTAGATTGAGCTCCTTCAGTGCTTGGCTGTCGGGCAGGTTTTCCAGCCCTCGGATTGTCCCTGCTGCTCTTCTCTGACCCCTCCCCCATTTCTGGATACCTTGTTTGCCATGTGGCCCCCCAGAGCTAGGCACAATCTCCCCAATGTCACGTCCAGCGGGGATCCCAGCTCCTACTTGCTATTCCCCTGTGTCTCCAGCCCAGGGTCACACTCGCCCTCTTAGCCAGAGCATCTCCTGGGGAGCTCATGGACAGTTGGCTCCACCAGGACACCTGGGTCCTTCCTAGAGTCACTGCTGAGCAGGTACAGCCCCCCCAGCCTCGTCATGATGGGCGCACCAGTGTCCCATGGGCAGTGCCTGGCACAACGCTTCCTCTACACAGTTCCTCTAGCTGGGCCCTTCCCTCTGCCCCACTGGGGCCAGAGATGCTGAGTTTGTGTCTCGGAAGATCTGATGTGACACAATGACCTCGTGTGAGATCTCATCTCGTGATGTGTGATGTGACACAGGATCTCATAGAGAAGGCGGAAGGGGCCAGCGATTATCTGCAGTCTGCAGCTTGCTGCGCCAAGGCTAGTGGTGAAAGCAGCCCTCCTGGGTTCTTTATCCAGCTTTGGGAGGGGAGTGGGGTCTACAGGTTAGAGCAGGAGTGGGGGCCACTGGGGCCAGAGATGCTGAGTTTGTGTCTCGGAAGATCTGATGTGACACAATGACCTCGTGTGAGATCTCATCTCGTGATGTGTGATGTGACACAGGATCTCATAGAGAAGGCGGAAGGGGCCAGCGATTATCTGCAGTCTGCAGCTTGCTGCGCCAAGGCTAGTGGTGAAAGCAGCCCTCCTGGGTTCTTTATCCAGCTTTGGGAGGGGAGTGGGGTCTACAGGTTAGAGCAGGAGTGGGGGCTGGGAGCCAGGACTCCTGGGTTCTCTCCCTGGCTCTGGGAGGGGAGTGGGGTCTAGTAGTTAGAGCAGGGGGATGGATAGTCAGGACTTTGGGTTCTATCTCTGGCTTTGGGATGAAAGTGGGGGTCCAGTGGGTTAGAGCAGGGGGGACTGGGAATCAGGACTCCTGGGTTCCAGTCTTGGCTTGGGGAGGGTTGTGGGATCTAATGGTTAGATCAGCAGGGGCTTTTCCCTGGTAGGCGGCTGGGTGCTGTGAGGATCTCAGACCTGTTCCTAGCAAACATGTGTCTGAAGCACCAAATCGACACCCCAGATGGCGTTAACCAGCCCCTCGCTGGCTGAACAGACCATGGGGACTGAGCTCTCCTCTGCCCCCTAGAGGAGAGGTGGGCATTAACGGGGGAGGGGGAGTGGGAGCATGAGTATGGGGTACAGAACGGCTCAGCAAAGACCCCAAGGGAATTCAGTCTCCCTGGCACATGAGCTGGGCCTTATCTTTGTTCTGCCAGCAGCCTCCAGGTGGTGCAGTTACAATTTGCCCTTAGTGTGCAAGCAACTGTTCAGGGTTTGGAAGAAATTTGTTTTTCACTTATTTTTGCACTTTAGTTCTCTCCGGGGTGCTTGCTGCCTCAATCCCTCAGTCTGTGGAGAGTTATTGGCCCCCTGGGAACCCGGTCTTGGTGGTTTCTGCCGAGAGTCCCTACAGAGGGAGTTCCCTGGATGCTGTTTACGACCACGTCTGTCCAGGACTGGTGCACGTACAGCAAACACGCAAGTTGCACTGAGAATATACCTAGCCTCCATGGCGCTAGTTTCTCCTCCTTCAGGTGACTGACCTACAAAGCCCTGGATTCTGCTCCCACTCCCCAGAGGGGCAGCAATATTCCCGTGTTTGTGCAGCGCCTAGCACACTGGGGTGCTTGCCCAGGCTTGGCTCTCAGCACTACTACAGTGCAAATAATAACTAATAATAAACCTACAAGATCCTCTATTTAAAATTTCAATTACTCCTTCATCCAAACACCATATAACCCAGTTACCAGCTGCACAAGATGCTGCACGGGAACAGCTCCCCTGGCATTGAGATGCAGCCTCCTCTGGGGTGGAGCAGCCGGGAAACAGCCGCACATAACACCAGGCTGGGATGGCTCACCCAGGGCTAAGATGCAGCCACCTCTGGGGCAGGGCAACTGGGTAAGAGCCACACATAATACCACACAGGGATGACTCACCGGGTGCTGAAATGCAGCCGCCTCTGGCACAGGGCAGCCGAGGAGCAGTTGCACATAATGCCCCATGGGGATAGCTCACCCAGCGCTAAGATGCAGCCACCTCTGGGGTGGGGCAACTGATACTAAACTAAGAGCAACACCTTCCATTTCAATTTAAGCTGCTTTGAGACTCTAAACACAGACTCTTTCCCAAAACACACACACACAATATCATGGAAGTTCCCGGGAGTGTGAGATCTCAGGAGCACAGCACTTACCCTGGTCCTGGGGCTGCATTAGACACTGGGAGCCCCTTCCGATCTCACCGAGGACAGTAACCAGGGAGGCAGTGGGCTACGGCAGAGAGACAAACATCCCTGCTCAAGTATTTGTAACCCACGAGCCTGTGTGCTGGGCTGGCAGGGGCTGGGGCTCAGGGGAGGAAAAGGAACTGTGATAAAGACTTCCTGGCTCTTAATGGCACCAGTCCTGATCTTCACATGTCAAGAAAAGCCAGTGGTGAGAGGCGGGGAGTGGGGAGACCAGACCAGGACCCAGGACTCCTGGGTTCTATTCTCAGCTCTCAGAGCAGAGTGGGGTCTCGTGGTTACAGTGGCAGGCTAGGATCTAGGATTCCTGGATTCTATCCCAGTTCTAGGAGGGGAGTGGGGTCTAAAGGTTAGTGTGTCTGGGGGGTGGGTAAAATCATGGAGCAGGTCCTTAAGGAATCAATTCTGAAGCACTTAGAGGAGAGGAAAGGGATCAGGAACAGTCAGCATGGATTCACCAAGGGCAAGTCATGCCTGACTAATCTAATTGCCTTCTATGACAAGATAACTGGCTCTGTGGATGAAGGGAAAGCAGTGGACGTGTTGTTCCTTGACTTTAGCAAAGCTTTTGACACGGTCTCCCACAGTATTCTTGCCAGCAAGTTAAAGAAGTATGGGCTGGATGAATGGACTATAAGGTGGATAGAAAGTTGGCTAGATTGTCGGGCTCAACGGGTAGTGATCAATGGCTCCATGTCTAGTTGGCAGCCGGTATCAAGTGGAGTGCCCCAGGGGTCGGTCCTGGGGCCGGTTTTGTTCAATATCTTCATAAATGATCTGGAGGATAGTGTGGATTGAACCCTCAGCAAGTTTGCAGATGACACTAAACTGGGAGGAGAGGTAGATAGGCTGGAGGGCAGGGATAGGATACAGAGGGCCCTAGACAAATTAGAGGATTGGGCCAAAAGAAATCTGATGAGGTTCACCAAGGACAAGTGCAGAGTCCTGCACTTAGGATGGAAGAATCCCATGCACCGCGACAGACTAGTGACCGAATGGCTCGGCAGCAGTTCTGCAGAAAAGGACCTAGGGGTGACAGTGGACGAGAAGCTGGATATGAGTCAACAGTGTGCCCTTGTTGCCAAGAAGGCCAATGGCATTTTGGGCTGTATAAGTAGGGGCATTGCCAGCAGATCGAGGGACGTGATCATTCCCCTCTATTCGACATTGGTGAGGCCTCATCTGGAGTCCTGTGTCCAGTTTTGGGCCCCAAACTACAAGAAGGATGTGGAAAAATTGGAAAGAGTCCAGCGGAGGGCAACAAAAATGATTAGGGGACTGGAACACATGACTTATGAGGAAAGGCTGAGGGAACTGGGATGGTTTAGTCTGTAGAAGAGAAGAATGAGGGGGGATTTGATAGCTGCTTTCAACTACCAAGAAGGGGGTTCCAAAGAGGATGGATCTAGACTGTTCTCAGGGGTAGCTGACAGAACAAGGAGTAATGGTCTCAAGTTGCAGTGGGGGAGGTTTAGGTTGGATATTAGGAAAAACTTTTTCACTAGAATCATAGAATCATAGAATCATAGAATATAAGGGTTGGAAGGGACCCCAGAAGGTCATCTAGTCCAACCCCCTGCTCGAAGCAGGACCAATTCCCAGTTAAATCATCCCAGCCAGGGCTTTGTCAAGCCTGACCTTAAAAACCTCTAAGGAAGGAGATTCTACCACCTCCCTAGGTAACGCATTCCAGTGTTTCACCACCCTCTTAGTGAAAAAGTTTTTCCTAATATCCAATCTAAACCTCCCCCACTGCAGCTTGAGACCATTACTCCTCGTTCTGTCATCTGATACCATTGAGAACAGTCTAGAGCCATCCTCTTTGGAACCCCCTTTCAGGTAGTTGAAAGCAGCTATCAAATCCCCCCTCATTCTTCTCTTCTGCAGGCTAAACAATCCCAGCTCCCTCAGCCTCTCCTCATAACTCATGTGTTCCAGACCCCTAATCATTTTTGTTGCCCTTCGCTGGACTCTCTCCAATTTATCCACATCCTTCTTGAAGTGTGGGGCCCAAAACTGGACACAGTACACCAGATGAGGCCTCACCAATGTCGAATAGAGGGGAACGATCACGTCCCTCGATCTGCTCGCTATGCCCCTACTTATACATCCCAAAATGCCATTGGCCTTCTTGGCAACAAGGGCACACTGCTGACTCATATCCAGCTTCTCGTCCACTGTCACCCCTAGGTCCTTTTCCGCTAGGAGGGTGGTGAGGTGGTAACTGGAATGGGTTACCTAGGGAGGTGGTGGAATCTCCTTCCTTAGAAGTTTTTAAGGTCAGGCTTGACAAAGCCCTGGCTGGGATGATTTAGTTGGGGATTGGTCCTGCTTTGAGCAGGGGGTTGGACTAGATGACCTCCTGAGGTCCCTTCCAACCCTGATATTCTATGATTCTATGTCTTCAGAGGCAGAGTAGTTAATAGAACCCAGGCGTTCTGCTCCCAGCTGCTCCCCCTGCTCTGACCCGCCAGACCCCACTCCTGCCAGCCAGGGCTGGGGATAGAACCCAGGAGTCCTGGCTCCCCACTACCCCCGCTATCACCCACTAGCTCCCACTCCCCGCCCAGAGCACGTGTATGCAGACAGACAGAGACACACAGAGCCCCACCTTCATAACACCCTGTGCCCAGAAGAGGGGTATGGGGTGGGGGAAATACCCCAATGATTTGTCTGTCGCAGATTCCCCAGTGATGGGGTGAGTCGCTATTGATGACTCAGCACCTGGCCAGTGAATGGATCCTGCCCCATCCATGGACCCTGCCCCACTGATTCGCCTGCCTGCCCGTCACCCCGATGGGTAACAGCTTCATTGTCAGTGCGTGGAGCATAGATAGATACATAGATTCCCACCCAGTGGCCCCAGGGACATGCCGGCCACTTCCGGGAGCTGCAAGGAGCCAGGGCGGGCAGGGAGCCTGCCTTAGCCCCACCAACCAGACTTTTAACAGTCCGGTCAGCAGTGCTGGCCAGTGCACAGCAACCCTCGGAGACAGGCGTTCCCACCTCCACAACAGACCCACCTTCAGCCAGGGGAGCTCCGGGGCGCAGAGTCTGGGGGATCTGGATGCAGCCAACCTCTGGGGCGGGGCCGCTGGGGAACAGCCTCACATAACGCTGCATGGGGAGGGTTCGTTCGGCGTTGAGATGCGGCCCGCTCTGGGGCGGGGCAGCTGGGGAACACGGACACCTCACTGTGTCTGCATATCCCTTTGTAGACCGTCGTGTTGCTGAATCTGTACCAGAACCCCCAGAACACAGCCCAGCTGGCAGACGGCTCACACTGTGAGTACCCGATACCCCCTCCTGGCCCAGCTGCATGGGACACTGTCTGGGGAAGTGCTCAGCCTCCCAGCCCTTCCTGTCCCTTAATGCTCTGGTTGGGCCTCTATTCATGAGCCTCGGCTCTGCCTTGCTTGTGAGGAAGCTCGCAGCCTCCGGAGACGCCCCTCACTCCTGGCGACAGGAGGCACGGGGGGTACTGCATGCAGTTTTCCCATTGTCCGACAGCAGAGTGAGTCTGTGTCTCTCTCCTCCAGGTCATGTCAGCGATGTGGAAGTGCAGGAGCATTACAACAATTTCTTTGAGGTGAGTCACTGAAAGTGCGCTGGGAATAAAACCCAGGAGTCCTGGCTCTCAGCCCCCTTCCCCGCTCCCAGCTCTCTAACCACTAGGCACCACTCCTATCCCAGAGCTAGGATAGAACCCAGGAATCCTGACTCCCAGCTCCCCCTGCCCCTTCCCCACCAGACCCCACTCCCCTCCCAGAGCTGGGAACAGAAGCCAGAAATCCTGACTGCACCTCACACCAGGCAACCCATCCTTATGTGGCATCGCTGTGCGGCTGTTCCCCACCTGCCCTGCCCTGCCCAGAGGTGGCTGCATCCCAGGGCTGGGCAAGCTGTTTCTGTGCATCGTTATGTGTGGCTGTTCCCCAGCTGCCCTGCCCCAGAGGAGGCTGCATCCCAGGGCTGGGCGAGCCAACAGATAATCTGCTGCTCTTCACATTACACTGAGCTACTTCCAGCAAATCACTGCTACCTTTTCCAAGTTCGCTTTTACAAGCTGTACTAGCCAACAATCCATCAAAAATCTACCCTTTCCTTCCTCAGACAGGGCTTTAACCTGACCATCCACTTTAATCTGCTCCTGAGAAACATTTTCCTGACCAATGAGTTTTTTCTGTGCTTGATCTAATTTCAGAGAGTCACTTCTGAGACAGCAGACAGACATTCAGCAACTTCATTCACAGACAAACTGCTTTTTTGCACAGACAAACAGCTATTTCCCAAAGACAAACTTTTGGCAAAACCCTCCATAGACACAGCCTCAGGATTAATCCTCCCCTGTGCCTGGTTTATGTTAATTTGACTGAACATAATTTTAATATCATTTCCCATCATAAGATCCTTAAGGATTGTGTTTTTCACTCCCACAATTATGGTGCCATCAAATCCCTTCCATGTAAGGCGGATTTTAGCCAAAGGCACCCTGACAAAATACTCAGATAAGGCTACAACTTTCACCTGGCAAATAATCTTCCTCCCTGACAAGACTTGCTTTAACCAAAGTAATATCCGCTGTGGGGTCCCTCCATGCCATACACCTTACTCCATTCACTTCTGCACTGCTAACAAACTCTATATTATTTCCCCCGTATTTAGCTTTAATATGAGTTTTAAGGTCAAATTCTCCAGAGACAACAGAAACAGCATTTGTACACAGGGCACCAGTGCTGGGCTCTGTTGGCTTGCCTGTGAGTTTATAATAACAGGATTAAGCATTTACTGGGTTTGGGGTTTTATTTTTTACGTTTGGATGCTCTGGTTTGATGTGCCCAGGTGTACCACACAAATGACATACCACTTGGAGTAGGAGTTTTTCTGCTCTGGGCCCCCATGAGCTTTTCTCACAGAAGTGGGACTGGTCCCACTTTTAAATCCTCCTCGTCTCTTAAACTGGGGAGAATGGTGATTAACTTTCCCCTGGGGTTTACACCCTTCTCGAGCCCTATTTTGAGTATGGGCATCCGCAATCTCTGCGGCCTGCAGGACTGACTCAGGGTCCTTATCACACAGAGCTGCTCTCCCC